ATTTCCTGGAATTATCGACACTCTCGCGTTTGCTGCTCTTTCCGAATTATCGACACGCTCGGGCTCGCGCTCTGCTTTATCTATACCTACGCCCTCCGAAAATTACCGACACTCTTGCCCTCGCGACCTGTTTGATTCACAGGTACACCCGCAAAATTAGTTCGGCTCGGGCGGCCGGACAATTTCGCGGTTGAAGCTTCGCCATTGGCGTTAGCAATCTCCCCTATAATCTCTGCTCGCGAGCCCTGGCTATGAAACCAGAGATTGTAGGGGAGATTGCTAACGCCAGTGGCGAGACTTCAGCCGCGAAATTGTCTAGCCGCCCTAGCCGAACTAATTTTGCGGGTATACCTGTAAGTCAAAAAGGTCGCGAGGTCAATAGTGTCGGTAATTTTCGGAGGGCGTGGGTATAGATAAGGCAAAGCGCGAGCCCGAGAGTGTCGATAATTCCTGGAACCCGTGACGAAGGAAAACATCAGATATAGAGCAGAGTGGGGGTATAATGGAAAGACAACCGATAGACGGAATGAAAAAAATTAATTCACTTTTCTAAATGCAAAAAATTGTTAAACAAATTGGGGAAAAATTGTCTCGCGAATGTATACTCAAACGATTGGAATGAGCTGAAACATCGAGATTTACCGGTCTCTCGGCACCTTTTTTTTGAAAACGGTTCTATTTTTATTAACAAATTCAAAAATGATTAAACAAATTCGGGAAAAATTGTCTCGCGAACATATACTCAAACGATTGGAATGAACTGAAACGTCGTTATTGGTCCCTCGGAATCTTCTTTTTTCAACGGGTTTATTTTTCTTAACAAATGCAAAAAATTGTAAAACAAATTCGGGAAAAATTGACACGCAAGTATATACTCAAACGACTGAGAATCGTGTTTACGTTTCAACATGAAGATTTATTGGTCCCTCAAAACATAGTTTTTTCAACGTATTTATTTTTGTAAACAAATTTGACATTGGTTAACAAAAATAAATACGTTGCAAAAAAAATTGTCCGAAGGACAAACAAATGTCCACGTTTACCACGATTTTCAGTCGTTTGAGTATAGACTTGCATGATAATTCCTTGCCGATTTGTTAAACAAATGTCGAATTTAACAAAAATGTACCCGTTAAAAAAAACGTTTTAACGGAACAGTAAATCTCGATGTTTCAGCTAATTCCCAATCGTTTGAGTATATATCCGCGAGACAATTTTTCCGCTATAAAACCGTCACGCTACCGTACCGCTAGGAAACTTCACGGTTGAAGCCTCGCCATTGGCGTTAACAATCTCCCCTATAATCTCTGATAAAACCCTATTAGGGCTCTTATTCGGAATGTAATACGCCAATTGCGTGAAGCCCAGCGTAGTCAGAGTGGAAGTAACAGTGTTCACGAAGAGGGACGTAGTTAGACGGAGAGAGCGCGCACGATAATATAGAGATCAGTGGTTATAGCCTCTGATTTAATTCCGTAGCCGCCGCTACAAAATTTAGCTGTTCAACCTTTACCATAAGCTCTGCTGATCTCACCTATTATCTTTGTCGTGGTTGTGGTCCGATTTGTAAGATAACGCGACTATAAATTATTCGTAAAAAATAATCTCTCGTAAAAGAAAAAAACCGTATGATTTTACTGGTTTTCCGCAGTTTTCTGAAGTTTAACTATTATCCATCAGAGTTCACAATTCGAATTTGGGTATTGTATTTTAAAGTGGGGATTGGTGATTGGAAAGTTTTGACGAACATTCGAGGTGTGACGTGTTATCACATGATCAAACTTTCGCTGATTTTTGTTCTAGATTTTCAGTATATCTCAGGCTTAAAATAATCGGAGGTATTTGGGGCGATTTCGGAAGTGTTGAAAGCCATTTGCAAAATCTATTGAGTTTAATAGAGGTTGAATTTTTTATTGAATCTATTGGACCATCACACGAAAGACTAATTGAATGTAACAGGTATTCTTGATGAATATCTTCGAAACTAAGATGGAGAAAAAAAAATTGATGGGAGCTTTTCGTAGATAGTCTGTTCTACGAAAGAGATTTCAACAAAGAATTTCATTTAAAGTCGAAGATATTCTCAATAAAATACTTTTTTGGAGCGGGTCGTTTTTTTTATTCGTTATTCCACCCCTAAATTAATAAGAACAGAAAGATTAAAGATATGTTTTCATTCTTACTTTTCCCGAACTTTATGATTAAGAAGAAAAAAAAGTCTGAGGAACAATTCCACATCGCCGTTTAAGACTTTCTTTTCAGTTTTCGATAGAAAAATGTATAGATAGATCAAAAACTATACCTTTTCGAACAGCTAAGTAAATTTTCTATGAAAGCTATGAGTTTGATTTCGCTTCCGAATGGAAGCATTGCAATTGTTTAATCCAGAGCAAAAAAAACGAGTTTTGCTTGGAAACCATGTAGAATCGTCTGAAACGGAAAAATACACAATTTTTTAAAAATGTCTGAGCGTGGTCTCCTCTGACCAGGGGTGGTTTTTACTTAAGAAAAGATATAGGTAGCTAAAAAAAATTCCAAAAGTTTCGAAGTTTTGTCACATAGTAGGTAAGCTTTGAGGCTAACTCTGTACCCAAGTTTAGCTCGATCGGCAAACCCGTTTTTGATAAATCAGGATTTGTATATAAATTGCTTTTTCAAAATATCTCCAAAACTAAGGAAGGTATTCGGTTTTTCTATTTCTATTTCATTCATTTGTCATAATTGGCTCTATTGGAGTCAATCAAAAATTGGAAAGTGAACCTTGCAAAAAATCATAGCTATTGCCACTGTTGTTTTTGAAAAAAATTGCTTTTATCCTTCTCACTCGCAAAAATCCAGCTATAAACTTCAAATTCTAACCAGATTTTCCACATATAGCTAGAATGGATGGTTTTCAAAGTGCGCATAATTGAACCGTTAGTTTCATAGATATTCAATTTTAGGTGTAAAATGATTATGTGGAATATCTCAGAATTGACAGGATCGAATTATTTTGTTTATCTGAAAATCTTTTAATAGATACAACATTCAACATTCTTAATAGATCCAACATAATAGAGAGAAACATACTGTAAAAACCGCTTGCAAGTGCGCCATCAATTTATTGATGGCAAAAAAATATATTCATAGATTTTAATAACTCATCCACAATAGCATAACTGCTATTTTCAGAAGAAACAAAAATCTTCAATGTTTCCGCCTGCGCTTATTTTTTGTCATTAAACTCCACTTTTAGAAAAAAAATGAAAATAAGCATTAAAAAATGTAGAGGTTGGAATGACGTTGATAATAGTGGAATGGTGTGATGCGATAAAATCTGTATTTTATTGTAGATATAAATTGCGGACAAAATTATAAAAGGCCCAGGAACTCCCTATTCCTCTGAATGACGGTTCTGGAAAACTCAAAATTATTAAAAGAAACATAATCAGTGATGACAATATTCATCCCCCCGCTTCCAGGATGATGTCCCTTCACCCAGGGTAAACAGACTCCTCGACACTTGACAGCAAGATCACTATGAAGATTGCCACAAAGGTGCCTGAGGACGTACCTGATGTCAGGAGTTAAAAGACACTGAGAGACATATCCCACGTTCGGAAGTTTAGTTTTTAATCTCGAATCCAAGAAATCTATCAATGCACTGGGATCAGTAGTATTGGGCCAGGGTGTGGACCACAGTCCCGACGGCCACACCGCCCTGTCAACCTTGGCAATCTCATTCCTGTAGACGATGAGCACCTGATAGCCTCTCCTCACCATCCAATCAATGCTGATGTTCGATAGATTCCCAGAAAATGGGCAGATTGCTGTCCCAAATGTTCTCTTAATTATGCCCACGAGACTCTGATGATCACTCAAACTAAATGAGTAAAAGTGTTGAAAGTCTAGGATTACTATCTCTTCCTGATGCGCCTTGAGCCAATTAGAGATTTCGTTCAGATGTAACTCCACGGCCTCACCGTACAAACCGTGGAGGAAGTAAATTTTTGAGTCGTTTGGCTTTGTCGCCAGGCGCAGATCCAAGTAACGAATTCCGCCCGACAATTGGGACTTTATGTCGTCCAATTGGGTAACGGACCAATTGAATATCAAGGGCTTCGACAGCATGGAAAAGTAGCGACCGAGGAACCGGAGAAATGGGGGCTCGTCTGGCCCCACGTCGTTACAGCGGTTTATTGTGTACGTCATTGTGTTGTGGGAACCTGTTTATTTCATTGGTTCAATTAATCATTTGTATGGATATCATCAATTCTTTTTGCCGTCCAAATTTCAGCCAATAGAATTGCACCATTCGACGTCGCTACTTCGTATTATACTAAATATTTTTCGAATATTTTGTCCCTTCTCTATATATATGAAATAAAAAACTGTTGGATCGCGTTAACCGCTGACTGAAATTGACATCGAGCTTATAGTATACTAGCGCCGCCGCAGCCGCAAGCGGCCGCGACGTTGATGACATTCTCATCACATGTCAGATCAGGAGCAGTATGTAATTAGCCGCAAATTATCAATAATTACAAAAACGAACTCATACGATCGATTGTAAATCGTTCGCAAGTGATTGTGAAAAAGGTCATAATGTTTAAGAGTAGATAGTTTTTTTATAAAAAATAAAAAACTTATGACCCATGTAGTTAGCCGCATTTTTTTTTCTAATCACTCTTAAATGATTTTTTTTATTGTAATCGTTTGCAATTCGTTTGTAAATACTATATTTATTTGAATCGACGTTTAAGAGTCATCAGTCTGGAAATTATCAGCAATAAACGTGATTGCAAAATTGTGATGTCCTGACATCTCGAGAGGTCGGGGGGCGCGTGTGTTGCATTAATCACCGCGAGATTCAAATTGCGTAATTCAATTTGATTTCTGTGTTAGAAAAGATTGTTCTAGCATACAATGGACAAAGGGAACAGAAAAAATTCCTCAAGTGTGAAGAAAATAGTTTAACATAAATGTCAAGTTTCAAATTCACATCAAGTAAACACATTTATTATAGACAAATTTAGAGGGTCGAGTTTATTTTAAAAGTCACGGTCTCAGGTCGTAAAATATCAATTTCTGTTTATCTTAAAAGTTTTCCACTGCATGTGCACAGCACGAGTGGAGATTCATTGTTCATTGTATTCGTCGGACTGAGGACCTAGAGTCCCAACAAAGAGGAGACCTGCGACGTCACGCGTTCTCCTCTTTTGGTTTCTTTGTGCAGTACACTTTTCCCTTCTGGAGGGGCCTGTTTTTCGCGTGCGCAACTTAGAATAAGTGGGGGGTTGGTGGACCCAACCCTTAGAAGTAAAATGAAGTTTAAGTTCAGTTCTTCTTCCACAAGCCTTCTGCTTGCAGCTTCTCTCTTCAAGCAGTTGAATTAAGTTATTAAGTTTAAAGTGTAGTTAAGGGCTGAAGTTAATCAAGTCTGAATGAAAGTGTTGATGTGCTCTCTTAAGCACTTATGTGGATTTATTTTTATTATTTGAATCATCGAATAATTAAATCACCTTGGACCTGTCATTAACCAACTTCGATGGAGTCCTCATTAGAGGTTTAGTGGCTAACGAGCCCACACTCAAACATTGGCGCTAAAATAACTCACCTGGCGCCACAGTTCTCCTAGTTACTTAGGGAGGACGTAACAAAATTGCGTGGAGGGGATAAGACTTTGCAAGTATGACGGGGCATGCGCAACTATTCAGAGGATTTTTCTGTTATACGTTCAAAAATAGATTAATGTCTTTCTCACTTTAATTTTGAAAGATTTCACTACGGCTGTCTTTTAATTGAACATTGAGTGGCACATCGAAACCCCTGTACTTTTTGTAAGTACATTAATAATTATAATAACTTGTTCACTAATGGGTGACATTTGGAGAACAATTATCGTTTGAGTAATCCCTGGTTATTCCCACCCAAGCTTACAGCTTATGCTGTTAATTTCATAAACCCAGTTAGGGTTGGGCAAAAACCTTGAATTCAATACTTCCGTTTTTTTGTTAAACAGAAGTGTTAAACATGACAATTGTCATGAGACATTAGTTTGTCATGAGACATTAGTTTAACACTTCTGTTTAACAAAAAAACGTAAGTATTGAATTCAAGGTTTTTGCCCAGCCCTAACTGGGTTTATGAAATTAACAGCATAAGCTGTAAGCTTGGGTGGGAATAACCAGGAATTACTCAAACGATAATTGTTCTCCAAATGTCACCCATTAGTGAACAAGTTATTATAATTATTAATGTACTTACAAAAAGTACAATGGTTTCGATGTGTCACTCAATGTTCAATTAAAAGACAGCCGTAGTGAAATCTTTCAAAATTAAAGTAAGAAAGACATTAATCTATTTTTGAACGTATAACAGAAAAATCCTCTAAATAGTTGCGCATGCCCCGTCATACTTGCAAAGTCTTATCCCCTCCACGCAATTTTGCAATCACGTTTATTGCTGATAATTTCCAGACTAATGACTCTTAAACGTCGATTCAAATGAATATAGTATTTACAAACGAATTGCAAACGATTACAATAAAAAAAATTATTTAAGAATGATTAGAAAAAAAAATGCGGCTAACTACATGGGTCATAAGTTTTTTATTTTTTATAAAAAAACTATCTACTCTTAAACATTATGACCTTTTTTACAATCACCTGCGAACGATTTACAATCGATTGTATGAGTTCGTTTTTGTAATTGTTGATAATTTGCGGCTAATTACATACTGCTCAGATCAGGGGAGAGACTTTGCGCGTTTTTCTCGACTTAAAAATTATTCCTTTGCTCCCGTTAGGACGCGTTTTACGGCGTTTATCAAATGCCGTTTGGAACACTGAGAAGTTAGGTATGTGGAGGTTAAGTAAATAGATCCATAACCTAATATTATTCCATTGCCCAAATTATTGGTCAACTACTCGACCTCTGAGTATATTACGAATATCTCCTATCCACCGATAATTTATTACTCGATCTATCGTCAATCGTTTGCAACAGTTTCATAGAAAATTTAATTTGAATTATCACCGCGCCCGTGTTCACAAAACCTGCACACAACGTCTGTATTCCACGCCCCATAACGGGAGCAAAAAAATAAGTTTTAAGTCGAGAAAAAAGCGCAAAATCTCTCCCCAGGGGTCCCGTTCGATTATCGAATCGAATGAAAAATGATCGACTATCCCCATGAGATCCGCTATGTTCGATTAGTGGACCGTTCTCTTTATTATACTAGCGCCGCCCCGGCCGCAAGCGGCCGGGACGTTGACCCCATTAAATGTGTGAATAGTATAGTGTGATGAGGTGACGATGCGATGTATGGTAGAGATGTCGCTTTCGATTATCGCAGTTGAACGATTATCGATATTCAATGTCAATTCGAGATATCCATGTATTTTTTATATAAGGATAAGGATAGGATTGTGAACCACAGGAGGAAACCAGGCGACCCTAACCCACGTGTGTATGGCCGGCCCTGGGGTGGTAAAGACGCGGATTCGAAGATGCTGCTACCTTCGTACAATATACGATTTCTCATCCTTTCAAGTCAAAAGTATGGACTTCATCTCATGGCGCAATTCTAGCGGCTAAAATCTAAACGAAAAAAATAATCTCCCCAATACGCGAATAAGGGAGTCTTTATACAGGGTGCCCCAGAAGTACACGCCGATACCAAAACGACATGTTCACAATCACCCACTGATCTCTATATATAGAGATCAGTGCAATCACCCCTTTGAGATATATTAGGATGAAAAGAACAGCCAATGACGCTACACTGAGAAAAAATTCTCTCAAAATTTAGTGTACCTTTTCACCAACGCTGGGACGTAACATGGGGTGTACAAGGAAATAGAGGGAGACACTGGACAAAATGGTATGCCTCACTCAAAAATTCGTATGTGGCACCCTAATTTTTGAGAGGCATGCACTACTTTTTCATGCGTTTCCTCCAGTTTCTCATGTGACCCTTCCGAAAAAATGAGTCAGCAGCATTTCAATTTCTCATTGATGGAGTACACTGATTTTTAGGGAAGGTTCTTACTAATTTTCAATGGAATTTTTTCTCCGTGTACCGCGTTCAGCGGTTGTACGCCTGTGTGACTGTGCACACCGGTGCGTGAATCACTTTCTAGTCAGGAGGAGGCAAAGTAGGGGAACCATTCTACATTCTACATTCTAACTTTTACATGGTAAATTTTATTACAAACCAAAAAGGTCTTTTGACAAAATTCCGTAAGTCTGCTGGTATCGGACCTAATTAACAAATGGAAAATTGCTTCAAAAGTAGATAGAAGGCTGACATTCATAGATTAATTGAGATGATTTTTTTTATTTCCCATCGCTTCATAAAAAAATTTTTTAGTAATTGTTTAAGAGCGAGAGAGAAATATGGTTCGTTTTCCCTGTCGCTTACGCGTAGAAAGGCTCCTTTACTTTGCCCCCTCCTGACTACAAGGTGAATCACGGACACCGGTGCACAGAGTCACACAAAATTTGAAAAGTTCAGCTTATCGATCCAGCGAGTAAAAGAAGATATAATAGGAGTATCTGTCTGATGCTCCAGCATCTGTGTCGTTATGTTCATCTTCTCAACGATTTCATCATTAAACTCACACCACCTAAAAAACCAAATTGTAATCCTTATTATTATTATTATTATTATTATTATTATTATTATTATTATTATTATTATTATTAATAATAATACAATAATAATAGTTGATTTTCTTTGGTGTTACAGTACAGCTTTACACCTCCTCCTTTCTTGCTTCGTGTACTATACAAATATATATCACTATACTATACTATATAAATTTACATAAACAAACTGCCATATTGGTATTGACGTATAATTCTTTGGCTAAATTGCTGTTACGTGGTAGCGTGCAGTATTCCCCTCACTCCGTCTCGTTTCACAGTATACTATTAGATGAGTATTGCCAGTTGTCCCTTCTCCCCAGCTGTTTTCGATCTTTTGAGTTCAGCCTTCCTGTGAGTTCCTCCCTGTATTCCTGCCTCTCTTTTTCTCGTTGGATAAGAATCTTCTCGATCTCCAGCAGCCTTGTACACCATGTTCCCGTCGGTTTGTTCCTCAGGATGTCCAGTAGGGCCTCTCGCCTATTTACGTCCTTGTTCTCTAATCCCCAGTTCATCCACCAGACATGGCTCTCCTCCTTCATTCTCACCTGAATGGCTCTGCA